ACCAATTTACCAATCAATCAATGAAATGAATAGATTGATTGATTGATTGGTTAATTGATTGATTGATTGATTGATTGGGTGACACATTTCATTGATTGGTTGGGTGACACACATACACACACATGTTTGCGGACGCACGTATATGAAACAACTGCTGTTTTGATTGGGTCGCCATGCATGTGACGACCTGCGTGTGTGTGTGTGTGTGTGCGCGCTATGTGTCCGATATTCGATTCAACGGGCGTCTGGAGTTGAACGGTTCAACTCCTGTTGAACCCCCGTTGCAACTCCATGTTATACCTCGTTAAAACGGGTTACAACTCGGCCGCGAAATTTTTTTTCGACCGGGAAAAAACGGTAAAATATATATATATCGTCAAATAGATATATGTGGGGGTGTAGAGGCTTTCGCGCTCTACATCCCCATTTTTTTTTTTTTTTTTTGAGGAAGTATATGAATTTTAAAAAGTAAAAAACAGTTAGAAAGTCAGTTTAAAGGAAAATAAACGACCCCTGGCAGACCGGTGGGGGGGGGGGCGTGCGGGGTGGGGGGCCCCAGATCGGTCGCCGCGAGCAGGGGACCGTTTGCTGCTGAAACGCGTAAAACACGGGCATGTCGTGCAGCAAACAACACGGATCGGCCACAAAAAAGGCCGAGTGTCAGAAATTTGTCACATTGTGTCATTGCCGTTGTGAGACGAGCAGTGCGCCGTTGTGCAGTCACTGCCAGTCAGTGCAGTTCAAGAGCCGTTGGTGTGGCAGTGGAAGCGCGGTACCAACGGTGCAATGGGGGTGGACGGGGGCACGAGGGGGCGCCGACGCGACAAACCGGCGAACATCAGGCAATCAGCAGACGATCAACGGGGGGATCAATGGATCAACGGGGATAAACGGGGATCAACGGGGATCAACGGGGATCAACGGGGGATCAACAGTGGAAGCGCGGGGGTGGAGGGGGGAGCTAGGGTCGTGCGGACTACGCGGGAGCGACACAGGGGCCGTACAACATCGAGAGAGAGAAACGGCGGG